GAGAGGGTCCAGAGGAGGGCCACTCGCATGATCAGGGGACTGCAGGGCAGGCCCTATGAGGAGAGACTACGGGACCTGAACCTGTTCAGCCTCCACAAGAGAAGGCTGAGGGGGGATCTAGTGGCCTGTTATAAACTAGTCAGGGGGGATCAGCAGGCATTGGGGGAGTCCCTGTTCCCCCGAGCACTGCCAGGAGTGACCAGGAATAACAGTCACAAGCTGGCAGAGGGTAGATTTAGGCTAGATATCAGGAGGCGCTACTTCACGGTCAGGGCAGCTAGGATCTGGAACCAACTTCCGGGAGAAGTGGTGCAGGCTCATACCCTGGGGGTTTTCAAGAGGAGGTTAGATGAACACCTTGCTGGGGTCGTTTGACCCCAGTACTCTTTCCTGCTATGGCAGGGGGTTGGACTAGATGATCTACTTAAGTCCCTTCTGACCCTAGAAACTATGAAACTATGTATGTGGGACCCGTTTCCTTGTGACCATTGTTAGTCTGTGTGGCAAGCTGCGTCCACTCCTCCAAGGGTATCATGGGTGTCCGTTGCACAAATCTTGTATGAATAGAGGACTGGTGACTTGAGATGCATAAAGTACCTTCTCTGGGCCAGGGGGCGCACCAAAAACATTTCAGCTCTTGATGAGTATGCCAGTGCTGCTTCCCTGAGTAGTTTTTTCTGTTCTAGGTTGTTATGGTGTATCGCCTAACAAGGCCACTGAAGACTGGGTGTGCTCCAGGTGTGCAGCCAATGCCTTAGAAGAGGTAAGAACATTGCACAAGCTCCCCTTTGCATGGCAGCCTTTTTTGTCGCGGTTAGGGGAGATCCTGCATGGTAGGTATTTTTGCTGCTTAGGTGCAGACTTAGTTCACCTTAAATCACCTTAGAGAGTGGAAGAATGTGGTCCAGAGAAAAGGCGTTCTTTTGGAAAAAGAATGATGGACAAGTCCAACGGACAAAAGGGAAGCGGGTTGATATCATATATTTGGACTTTAAAAAACCCTGTGACCTGGAGTCCTCATGGAAAAATTGGGCAACTGCGACCTCGACTGCTCCACAGTCTGGCTGGGAAACTGGTTCCGAGGTTGGATCCAGAGAGTGGTAGTTGACAGAACTGAATCAACATGGCACTGGGTGACTAGTGGTGTGCTCCAAGCCTCCGTTCTCAGACCTGTACTCCTTTTTAATGTCTTCATAAATGATATGGACACTGGTGTCAGAAGCAGACTGGCTAAGTTCGCTGATGACACCAAACTTTGGGGAAAAGTATCCATACTTGAGGATAGGTTGGTGATCCAGGCTGACCTCGATAGGCTTGCAAGGTGGGCGAATGAAAACCTGATGGCATTCAATATGGAGAAATGCAAGGTGCTCCACCTGGGGGGGAGGGAGGAACCTGCATCACATTTATAGGCTTAGCAGTGCTACACTCGGTAGCACCATGGCCAAAAGAGACTTGGGGGTCACGATTGGCCACAAGATGAACACGAGCTGCCAACGCAATACCACAGTTGGCAAAGCGAACAAACTCTGGCTTGCATCTATCGATGCATCTTGAGCAAGACCCAGGTGTCATCTTCCCCCTGTACTCAGCCTTGGTGAGGCTATAGCTGAAGTACTGCATCCAATTCTGGGCTCCACAATTTAGGAAGGATGTGGAGAAGCTTGAAAGAGTCCAGAGGAGAGCCACAAGCATGATCAGAGGGCAGGAGAACAGGCCTTATGAAGAGGGGCTGCGAGCTCTTCAGCCTGGAGAAGCGCAGGCTCAGGGGTGACTTGGTGGCAGCCTGTAAGTACATAAGGGGTTTTCATCAGGATCTGGGGGAACACCTGTTCACCAGAGCACCCCAAGGGATGACCATGTCCAACAGTCACAAACTCCTGCAGGACTGTTTTATGCTGGACATGAGGAAAAACTTGTTTACTGTCCAAGCCCCCAAGGCCTGGAACAGATGCCTCCCAGAGGTGGTGCAAGCACCTACTCTGGACACTTTCAAGAAACACTTGGACTCTTATCTTGCTGGGATCCTTTGACCCTACCTGGCTTCCTGCCCTTGGAGCAGGGGCCTGGACCCGATGATCTTACAACGTCCCTTCCAGCCCTGATGTCTATGAAATCTATGCAAGTGTCACAGGCTCTGGACAGACAGAAGGGCTGGATGCATTCCCTTCCAGAGACCAGCAGTTTTTTAAATCATATTCACAGTGGGGGAGTTGTTCCCAGTTCCCTTCACCTGTCCCTAACTGGGATAGGAACTTGCTTCTCTGATATGAGAGCACAGTGCACTCACCATCAGTCTCCTACAAATGTTTGTAGATCTGCCTCACTTTTTGGACAGTAGCGAGTAACTAGAGTCAAGGTTTTCTCAAAAGCGGTGGCATTGACAGCCCTTAGGCTGTCGTCTTTCTCACATGATTAGTCCTGTCACTGTTAAAATGATGCTTTTCCTCTCTGTGTGCCCCCCAGGGAGAAAGCTTTGAAGCCAGCACAGTAATGACTGGTCTGAAGCATGTCCACTTTTAATGACTGTAGACTTAACTATCTGTCAGATAACAAGCTTCTTCATCTTCTTCCTTGTGGCAGGATTGCTGTTTATGTTCTTTACGAGGTGGTGCCCTACAGAGAGCCAACGATGACAAGTGAGTGTTCCTGCTGAACATGTGTACTTGCCATAATATTGCTAAAGCAGAGTCATTAGGTTTAGAGGGTAACATAGCAGCCAGTGATGTACTCTAGATTTACGGGGTTAGTGGGATGGTGTGCAAGCATATGGATGTGAGCACACTGTGTGAATGCTCTAGGGCTGTGGGCAGTTGTCTACAGTACTCTGTATCTATGTTGCCAGTCCCTAACTTCCCAGGAGATGCCCCATTCTAAGTGGTGGTAGGTGTTACTAAGTGCTTGCACTGCTTAGTATATGGATACATGTATATTTGGAGCCATTTCAAAAGGCAAACTTTTTCAAAAGGGCAGTGGCTGTTATGTTCTGATAGTTAGGAGGGGCTGAGCTGGGGGAGAAATGAACATGGCAAAACTGCCCCAACGTTAACTTCATGCAGCTCAGCTTGTGTTTGGGTCCATACTTTCCTGGATCTGTACAAGGTGCTAGGAGCT